ATTTTCTTCCCCACATTCAAATATCTCTGAAATGGGTATGTGTTTTACAATAACAATCCACTGGGAATGGCTATGATGATGTTTCTGTCATTGTCTATAGGTGTGCAAATTCCATCTTAGCTCTTTGTGTTGTCACATTTATACATATATGTGGATGGTTGACAGCACATGGGCTAATTGCTGTTTGCTGTGTCTTAAACAGGTTACAATTTGGTTTGGCTTTGAAACAAAGTTATCATGTACACAGAAAAGCACAGAAACAGAGGACTGGGATGAAATGTGATATTAGTGAACCAAAGAGCTGACACTGAGGTGATCACAGTTCCATATGGTCTTGCAAAGCAACCACTGAATGTTTTGCCTAAAAAGGAAGACATCAACATGTAATTATCATTAAGGCATGGCATCATAGTTACTTAATGGTACATAAAAACTGGAGTGTTTTTTTTCAAGCACCTATTATGTTAAAGGTTCTCTGCTGGTTAAGTTTAAAGGTTTTATGCTTTTATACAATATTGGTGCCTCTACCACTCTGTAGATAGTATTATCCCCAATCCACGGATGAAAGATGAGTAACTAGCTCAGGTTGGTAATCTAGTTTTGATAGAGTGAGGGCTTGACTCTTCATGAGCCTGTGCCTCTTTCCCTACCTTGGTAGACGTCTTGCTGATATTCTAACCCCTTTGTCTTTCAGGAACATCTTTGGGAAGAATTTGTCCAAAGGGATCTATACTGTGGTGCTATTCTGAAACAAGATGACAGTTTGTTTTTTTCTTGGTTTCTCACCTAAAAATTTAGGTTTTGGGAACTGGAAATCCTTATTAGGGCATTTAAACCATGGTATTTATTTCTCTGCAATGCACTTTGAATTCAGCTCACGTATTCTTTCACCTTATCTCACAATTGTTTCCAAAAGTGGATAATGCTTCCTTAAACATGGAATCTTTATTTATGTCTAAGAATAAGTCAGCACCACAAACAGGTCAGCACCACTTAGGTGCCTATGGAAAGTAGGTGAGTTGAAGATGACCCAATAAATGCCCCTTGACATTACCAACCAATAATTTTATAGAAAACTCAGTATTAGAAAAGTATTGAACATTTGTTTTTACCAAACTCCAGGTTCTCAAGAAATAGCTAGATAAGCTTTTCATACATAAACATTTATATTTCCAATGCTATCTGGGAGAGAAAAAGAATAAAAATTAAAATGAAAACCACTTCAATTTCTTTCCATGATTATAATTTTGTTCATACCAACATTTTTAAATGGTTAAGCATGTTTAGAAAAGTGGTTTCTTCTCAGATCGGGATGGCAGCCCTCTTGGGAAAGGCCAGTCTGTGGTAAACTCACCAGCAACCAGGGTGGAAGTGCCAGAAATATTCGTGGGAAGCTGATGATTCTGAAATTCCTAGTGTGATTCTGAACCCAGGAGAATTTAGTTGCATTTCGAATTAATAGAAAGTTCATTATTTACACTTCACACATTTACTTCTTTTTAGATCTGGTTCAAAGGCACTGAGAGGTATGTTCTAGATTACAGGCATCCAATTAAGTAAATCAAAAAGACCTTGTAGCAAGTAGTAAAAATAATTCTTTCCCCACAAATTGAGCCGAGGAGGGGTGGGCATTCTCTTCTTTCTTAGGCCAAGCACTCCGAATAGCCACTGTTTTACCATCAGCTCTCTGCTATGAAAGTTTTAAGCACATTGTTGGCATTCAAATTGTGAATAGCTAATACAAGGTCACCTAATACTTTGTCAGTGTTTGTCTGTTACCAGTTGTTCCTAATTGACTAAAACAGCTAGAGTTATTCACTGACTCTAAAGAATGCGGTGGCAGGTAGGTTTTAAAATAATATTTAGAGAATCATAGACAGCTATACTCATTCTCATCCTTTTCCTGCCCAACTTCATAGGAGTTGTCCATCTAATCCAAGGTAAGTCCCCTTTCTATACCCTGAATGTATACATCAAAATTAAATTTACCATCTGCCTTACCTCTCAAACTGTTGCTTCTGAATTTTCTATTTTGTGAATATCACTATCATCATCTACTAAGTTTCCCAAGCAAACAGTTATGGATCAGCAGAAACTCTTTTCTTTCCATTCCCAAACTTCAGAGCCATTCAATCCACCAGTGTTCTGTCCATTTTATTAAATCAATATTTTTCCTGCCTGTTTATTTATCTCTATTTCCTTTGTTACTACATCAGTACAGGTCCTCACTACCTTAGAAGAGCCTCCCAAATGGTCTCCCTGCTACAATTTTTTATATTCTTATAATCCATTCTCTATATCACTATTAAGGTTATCTTTGTAAATGCAAATCTGCTTAAAACCTTTTAATGGTGCTTCATCGTCTTATTTTTAAAGTTTTTTCTTTATGTTGCCACACAACTTAATGCTTCATCACATTAAGGAAAAAGTTTAGACCCTTGGCATGGAACCAAGTCCTATATCATATGGTCCTGCAGGTCTTTTCAGCATCACTCTGAACCGTTTTCCATATACCCCTTATGTTTCAACCTTAGAGAAAAACTTACCATTCTGCAAATGGACCATGTTTCCTCTCCTTCTTTTGCATTTGCAAGGTGGTTCACTCTACTGACCATTTGCTCCTTGTTTGCCCACAGCAGTCTCACTAGTTCTTTAAGACTAGCTCATTTTCTGTAACCTCTGGGAAGCAGTGAGAGAATCTACTCTGAGTTTAACGTCACTTACAATGGTGCCTTCACTTGTGTTTCCACAGGACCCTGTACATACCTTCATCAAGGCACTTGCCACATAGTACTTACATTTCTGTTGTACATACATGTCTCTTCCACTAAACTTTAAAACCCTTGAAGAGAAAAACTGTGTCTTCTATCTTTGTATCTCCAAGCCAAACATGGCACCTGTTGCTTAGTAGGTGGTCAGTTAATTGCTGCTGAATAAAGGAGTTTTAATCCTTTCTTATTGTTTCTGGAAACTTTACTCAAGCAAAGTAATTTTGTTCCTCTTTCTTTGTGTATTTTAAACTCCTTCATCTTTCCCTGAAGTCTTATTCATTTTAAAAGACCAAGAAAACACATGCTCCATGTTAGCCCCTTCATCATAGCCCCATTTTGTTGGAAAAAAAAAACAAAGTCCAATTATAAACTCCTAACCTCCCGTTGACTCCCAGCCTTCAAAAGGTTGATGTTTACTCCCTCACTCCCAACGGAATTGTTCTTACCAATGACACCAATTTCTTCCTGATTGTGAAAGCCAGGCTTTATCTTACGTGATTACTCTTCAGGATTTCAATTTGTTGCCCTGTCTGTTTTTCCTGAAGGCTCCTTATTAATTTCGCTTTTGTGATATCATTTCCCCTGTTCTGCATCTTCTCTGAACACTAATCAGCTATGCCAGCTGCCTTTACTTAAATGCTGGTGTCTCAAAAACCCTTATTAATTCTTTTGTCTTCTTATTCTCTCTGGGTAATTTCATCTAATTTTGCATCGTTGGTGACTACCTATATATCCAGTGATCCTGAATTTCAACCTCCAGAATGCTATTTCCAATGTGTAATAAATTCTGTGACTCACAATACGCTCAAACTTTACACCCTCAAAATTGAATTGTTTCATTTTGCAAACATGGCCCCTTTTATATTTCCTATCTTAGTAAGTTAGCAGGAGGGTCAAGGTGTTGACCATTCATAATCTTTCTCCAAGTTTCTATACTAGACTACATAATAAATAAATTTCAAGGAAAAAATTATCCCCTGCATGTAACCCAACTTAGCTTTTGTATTAGTTATCACTGCATAACAAGTTACCACAATTTAGTTTAAAACAGCATACGTTTATTATCTGAAAGTTTCTGTGAGTCAGGAGTCCAAGCATGGTTTAGCTGGGCCCTCTGCTCAGAGTTTCACAAAGCTGCAACCAAGGTGTTCGCTGGGGCTGGGTTTTTATCTGAGGTTCAGTTGCTTCTTCCAAGACCGCATGGTTGTTGACAAAATTCATTTTGTTGCAGCTGTTGAACTCATGGCAGCTTGATTATTTAAGGCCAGTAGGAGTCAGAGTCTCTGACTTGTTCATCCTCTTTAAAAGGACTGGTCTGATTAGGTTAGGCCCACCCAAGGGATCTCTGATTAACTCAGAGTCGGCTGATGAGAAACCTTATGCACATCACATCTGCAACATCTCTTCACTTTTGCTACATAATGTAACATAATTATGGGAGAGATGATCCCATCAGTTTTGCCAGACTCTGTTGGTTAGAAGCAGGTTACAGGTCCCGCCCACACTCGATGGGGGAGAGGACTATACGAAGTCATGGATCATTGAGGATCACTCTAGAATTCTGTCTATCATAGTGTAATTATATATATGTGTGTGTGTGTGTGTGTGTGTGTGTGTGTGTGTGTGTGTGGTGAAAAGAATAGATGTTTGTAATTTGGAGGTATTAAAAGGTTGAATACAAAGAAAAAATTATAGAACTTTAAAGTCTTAAATTTTAATGGAGATGGCACATTATTTTGAAGATGGAGAAAATGGCTTTCTGTGTTTATTGCATATTACACTTACTGCCTTGGGCAGGATATATGTCCAAGTATCTAAACCAGGCGTCCCCAGACTTTTTACACAGGGGGCCAGTTTACTGTCCCTCAGACCGTTGAAGGGCCGCCACATACTGTGCTCCTCTCACTGACCACCAGTGAAAGAGGTGCCCCTTCCTGAGTGCGGCGGGGGCTGGATAAATGGCCTCAGGGGGCCGCAGTTTGGGGATGCCTGATCTAAACTATAGATTATATTATATGAACTTAAAGGGAATAATTAAATAAGTAACTCTGAAAGACAAATATTTAATGACATAACTGGCTTGATTTGAGAAGCATTTTACCGTGTGTTAGCCTCATTTGTAGTGAGAGAGGATCATGTAACTACATGTCTGTAAGTAAGTTATATGGTTTTTCTCAGTATAAATTAGTTCAATGTTTCTGGTTTTTTTTTTTTTTTTTTAACTTTTTCTTTTAATACCTTTGGCAGACTGTGATTTTCATCAGAAGTGCTAATCTTTCCTCAGGATGGGTAGTTCAAGCATCTTTTCATGTTGCTTTCTCACAGTTTTAAATGACATATCTACAGAAGTTCTTTTATCAGTGACTTTTCCCTTCCTGGCCCCATGCCATCTGAGGGCATACTCTCTAGCTCTTTTTTTTTTTTTTTTTGTAGGCATCAGATATATTCTGAAGTCAATACTAAAGCTGTTAGAGTATGACATTTACTAAGAATCCTGCCATTTTAGTCCCTTCTTCTTAATGGACAACAATTCCATCGGTATTTAGTAAAAAACAACATAGTTTGGTAAATTTAGCTCTTTTTCTTGACATTGGCAATGATAATACAATGCCTGTGGTATATAATCTTCATGGCTGACTTGTAAATCCCTACAGATATGTGGTTACTTCTCTACTTTCCCTCTCTTTGGCTTGGGCAACTGCCACGTTGATGCACTGGAGCCATTCTTCTGCATTCTTCTCATCCTTGGCCTTAAAGACATAGGTTTTATTGTCTGTGAAGATTTCGAAAGCCCTCGGGAGAGAGCGGTCCCTGCGTTTCTTGGCCACAGCTTTCACACTCTGTACTTTGCTGAGTTCTATTGGGCAGTCATCAGGGTCATCTTTCTGAAATGCATGGGAAGAAAAGAACATGGGCTGGCTGTTACTGTAGGCAAGGATCTGTGACTACTGGAGAATTTTCCTAAGAGGGCCAGAATCCTTTCACTTTTTATGGCTCAAGACCTTTGTTATTTTGGGTGCTAAGTCCTCAGCAATCATTAGAATAACGGAAGCAGTGAAGCAATCAGGCCTTTGCTGGAGTATGCACAAGATAACTAATTTATAGAATATTATTATAAAGTGAGATTTGGGAAAATTCAGAGTTATTTCATTTTCTATTGATGTTATATTAATAGAGCAAGGTGCAAGGGTATACTCTGGAGTGCCATTAACTTAATAATTTCAGATAGCTTGGAAGGCATGAAATTGAATTTTCCTTTGGGCTACCTCTGAGAAGGATTTTGTCAAATCCTTAATTGAATAAAGAGGTTTCCAGCGTTTGCATAGACCAAACTCTTTTTGAAACTCTCTGCAGCTTTGGAAGCATGCTTTGTCTACATAGTAAGAGAAGGAATATTTAATGATGTTGCATTTGCCTTGCATTAAAGCATAGTGTAAAGATCTCGCCGGGTGCGGTGGCTCAAGCCTGTAATCCCAGCACTTTGGGAGGCCGAGGCGGGTGGATCACGAGGTCAAGAGATCAAGACCATCCTGGTCAACATGGTGAAACTCCGTCTCTACTAAAAATACAAAACATTAGCTGGGCATGGTGGCACGTGCCTGTAATCCCAGCTGCTCAGGAGTCTGAGGCAGGAGAATTGCCTGAACCCAGGAGGCGGAGGTTGCGGTGAGCCGAGATCGCGCCATTGCACTCCAGCCTGGGTAACAAGTGAAACTCCGTCTCAAAAAAAAAAAAAAAAAAAAAAGATCTCTACAATACCAAGGTTATCACACTGGGCTAAGATGAATAATTTTAAGGGGCCGAATATTTCTTTAAAGCAATTTCATGTCTTTAACATGAATATATTTTGTCTACCAAAGAAAGTACCTATGGTTGAGAATCTTGCCAATTATCCTTGCCCACCTCTCCTCTTGGAATCACCCTCCTTTCACTTTGCAATGAAAAAGCATCCTCCTCACTCATCGCATGCTTTCTATAATGTTTCGTCCAATGTGAAAGAATCTCAGAAGCATCAAGCAAAAAAGCAATTCCAACTATCGACGTTAGGGAAGTATCCATCAACCAAGGCATTGTAATCACTCCTCATCTATTTCATTACGAGATACATTTTCAATAATATTTCAGTTTTTAATGTTTAATAATCATTAAGTTTGGCATTATACTTATGGATTTTCATGAAGGATACAACTTTTTAAAAAGATTACTGAATCGTAAAAAATAACAGAGATGGATGGTCATAAGAAATTAAAACAATTAAATTTCAATTTATAGTTTTAGTGCAGTGAAAAAATGAAATGCCATTCAGGATAAAATGCTGTGATAGAGGTAGAATAGAAACCTGATTTAAAAAAAAAGAAAAAATGTGAACATTTCTATTTAAAAAAGAGCTAATTTGTGTATTAAAAATAGATAATGTTAGGTATTAAACTGCTATAGTATTTTAATCCAATGGTTACATTTAATGGAGAGATGTAATCCTTTTGTTTTAAAATGTCAATATTTACAATACAACAGAAATAACAGTGTGGGCAAGTGTTTACACTTATGATTAAAGTGTTGCTACAACTTAAAATGCTGCAAGGTATTACATAGATTTTTTTTCAAAATTCTTTTAGGGTACACAGGATAAAGTTTGAAGACGTATACACTAGACAATGCTTTATTAGCCTAATTTCATTTATAGTAAGTATCTGACAGTAACAAAATTGCATTTCTTTGAAGTAGTCTATAGTACCGAGATTGATAAATGAAGGACTGATGAAGAAAATTAAAAGTTACCATAGTAATTTTAAGATGGACCGTCAATCAACTGAGATAGGAATAGACAGAAAGTCAAAGGACACTATTGCCTAGCTGGTTGGTGGAGATCAAGATCTTAAAAATGCAAAAGTGAAAGATTAAAGAATTTCATTAGAGTCTTTTTACCTCAGTTCTCATTTTAAAATGCACTTTTCTTTCATTTAAAAGGGGCCCTTTCACAAGGATCTGAAGCTTCAGCAGGACTGTTGACCACTGGTAGGTTATTGTATCCCTGGAGATTAGAGGTATTTTGCTGTGGCCTTTATGCTATGTTAAATTATTTCCCAGTATTTGAACCACAAGTTTTGTCAGAGTTGTGGAATGTCAGGCCCTTATTTCCTGATAAACATGTCAAACTTGTTAGCTAATTATAAAATTGTTTTTTCTTTAAACTTTATTTAAAAGCCATGAATCAGAAAGTATAAAGGCCATTATTCGAGTTTAGAAAAACTCTTATGGATTAACTGCTTTGTCTTAAGGGATCTAGAAAATTATTACATCTTTATTTCTATTCTTGATTTCTGGAATAAAAACAGAAAATTCAGATAGTCATTTTAAACACTTTAAACATGCTTTAGTGTGAACCTACGCTAAAAAAATGTTTCTTTAAATCTCCAATAGCTTCTAAACTGAACTGCCATAATACTTTCCTTTAGAAAAGATGTTCAGCCACAGAAAAGTCCATCTGTATATGTTGTAATACACACAGACGAATAAAGTAACATGAATACACAGTAGGTATCACAAAAATACTCTTTTTCATTCAAAGAGTTAACAGAAGACTTATTAATTAAAAAACCACTGGTCAGAATTTGCTATAATTCATATATATGATACTTGATTCTTGTTGACTAAAATGTTCAAATAAGTTTTATAATGAGTACTCTAAATATATAGTGAATATGGCCCAGAATGAATTACAATTTTTAACTAATTGAATATTTTTCATTAATTGATTCAGACAGTTTAGTTTATGTGATTGTTAAATTTATGTGTCAACTTGACTAAGCTAATGGGTACCCAGATAGCTGGGAAAGCATTACTTCTGCATGTCTGTGAGGTGTTTCAGGAAGAGGCTGGCATTTGAATTAGTGGACTGAGTGAAGAAGATCCATGCTCATCATTGCGGGTGGGCATCATCCAATCTATTGTGGATCTGAGTAGGTTAAAAAGTTAGAGGAAAGGTAAATTTGCTCTCTCTTCTTAAGCTGAGATATGTATTCTCTCTTGCCTGTGGACATCAGACCTCCTGTTGTTCAGGGCCCTCAGACTCTGGAACTTACATCCCTCTCTCAACGCACCCTCATACCCTCATACCCTGGTTCTCAGGCCTTTGGCCTTGGACTAGGAGTTCTGTCATTGACTCCCTTGATTCTCTGGCCTCAGGACACAGACTGAATTACACCACCACCACCAGTTTTTCTGTTCTTCCAGCTTGCACACAGCATATCATGGAACTTCTAACCTTCCATAATTTCATGAGCCAATTCCCATAGTAAATCTCTTATATATCTTTATATATATATATATCTGCTTCTATGGAGATCCCTGGTGAGTACAGTTTACCACTGGCTCTGAATTTTAAGTATACATGGGAAGCAGTAAACTCATTTAAGAACATGCTTTGGTGTAACACTGCCAGGTCTTGACCCCAGTTGTACCCTTTGTCATCTTAGTAGCTCCATCCTTGGACAATCAAATCAGTTTCTTTGACTCAGTTTCCTCATCTATAAAATGGCAATAATAGCAATGCTGGCCTAATAGGATTGTTTTGAGGATTGTTTGAGGCAATCCAAGGTGTGGCGTGATAAGCACTGAGAAAATGCTAGTCATTAAGATTATTTTCTAAAATAACCAAGAAGTAGGTCAAGATTTGATTCCTCTTGATCCGGAATCAGTAGTTTATGATAAATAAAACCAATTCAAAAAGAAGATAACTTTGCGTTATTGATTGGAATAGAATGCTACTTCAGAGGCTTCCCACTTAAAATTCACAATATGGATAATTACTGAGCATCCTATTCAAATAGAAAATTATATTAAATAAATATTTATTAATTTGATCATAATTCTATTATATTCACTAACTGAATATTGAATAGATGAAAGTCAGTAACATTTTAATCAGAATTAAACTTTGTTGACTATAAAAAGTATGTAAAGTAAATCAGCCTCCATTTTTTCCTCTTTGCCTATGTCTTCCTTTTTTGGACCCCCACTTTAAAATATAACCTATAGTTATAAAAAAATCAGAGCCAATATCATAAGTCATAAATTTGTGTACATGGTCCATAAGGAAACAAAGGGCATGGTCTCTGAGTCAAGACCGAGTAGTCCTTCTGCAGTTCATCTTCTAAAACTTAAGTCAACTAAAACAAGCATGCATAATAAACTGGAAGGGGACAGTGAGCCAGCTAACATAGGAATAAACAGACTAGACACAGACACATGCAATGAAACAATGCTGTAAGATGGTGAAATGGAGATGGAACAGTTATCAAAGTTTAAACTCAAGACAAAATGTCCAGCTAATTGGTGGAGATTAAGAACTTAAAAATGCAAGTGTGAAAGATGATGGAGGAACTTACAGACTTTCCTTTTTGAAACAGAAGTTGATTTCCAGCCAGTGTAAAATAACGTGTTTTCCACCTTTTGATGAACTTCCATCTGACTTGCTTCTCTTTAAGTTTTCCTTCTATAAGAGGCTGGCCATCTTGATTTATGACTGTTGAAAGTAGCAGAATGATCAAGCCATTTATTTTCCATTATTTATTTGGCAGATGATCAAAAGTCAGAACTGGACGGTGTACTAGAACCCAGTTAGCATATCGGGAAAGTAGGCTAGTAAATTATGAATTTGGTTAACCTTTCCTCCTTTGTCCCTAAAAGAATGCACAATTCAGAAGTGACAATGGAAAAGTGTTGTGAAAACCCTCATTGACATTTTCAAAAGGAATTGGCTCACACAAAGAGCATCTGGTTAGCAGTATTTAAAGTTTATTGGGATATCTAGCTTTCTGTGCTTGGCTTCTCTGTTTCGTGGTGTTCCGTTTCTGATGTTGGAATGACCAAATTAATTTGGAACAGTTTGAAATTTTGGCACAAAGTCCTAGTATGCCATAAGCTTCATTTTGATTTTGCCAGTAACTAGGTAATAAAAAACAAATTTCCATGCTTTATGACACATGAACTGCTGGAAATATAGCTTTAAAACTAATCATAAACCCAAGTATATTTAGGTATTTGGCAGCAAAAGTCAATGCAGCACTCCAAAAGACATGTTTCCTAAAGCCACAACACTAAGCAGCAAAGGCAAACTTACCCAACACTTGTACATGCTATTCTCACTCTCTGGAACACACGTATTCTCTCTTCCCTCTCTGCACTCTCATGTTCACCTAATCAACAACGGATCATTTCACATTTCAACTTAAAAGTTGCTTCCTTTGGGAAGGCCTCTCCAAATCCAGATGAGGGTGGTTTTCCCCATGTGTTCTCATGACACAGGGCATATTTTTTATATATCAGGGGTTATCATTTGTAGGTAGATATTAGTGTTTATCTGATTAATATCTTTCTGTCTCATTCAGTTGGAAGCTCCACAAGGGAAGAGTCTTTGCTTTGTTCAATGTCGAACCACCAAGCATCTAAGATGATGCCTGGCAAATAGTAGGAAGTCGATAAATATTTGTTGACTGAATGGATTAATTCTACATTGAAGCAGAGTGTGCATGATTACAAATGATCACAGAAGATCCATTGTAATGTCAGAGTTTAGATGCTGAACTGAAGAATTTTATTTCTTTTGCCAACAACATAAGATTCACTCTTCAAACTCAGATAAAAACATCTGATTTCAGTGGGAAGGGGCAATGGAAAGCTCAACCTGTAGTAGGAAAATATTTATTTATATACATTTATCTTCAATTTTCCTGGTGCCTTGAAAGCAATAAGATTTGTTTCATCACTTTGAAAAAATTCTGGATAGTTTCTGTTTGACCATATGAACACAACCTGCCCTTTGTACACTACCATTTCTTTTTTCCGATATAGGTCTAATAATTGCCTCACAGGATTGTCCACCTTTACAGAGCATTTTCAGTATATAAATAATAAAACGTACAGTTTTTTTGGGGGGTGGGGGGACATAGTCTACTCTGTCACCCAGGCTGAAGTGCATTTGCACAATCTCTGCTCCGTGCAACCTCCAACTCTTGGACTCAAATGATTCTCCTGCCTCCGTCTCCTGAGTAGCTGGGACTACAGGCGATCACCACCACACTTAGCTAATTTTTGTATTTTTAGTAGAGACGGGGTTTTGCCATGTTGGCCAGCTGGTCCCAAGGTCCACCATTGTAAGATAGTGATAAGGGCTATGATGAAAATAGAATAGGGCGTAAGTGACTTGGGAATTTGGTGTGCATGCATTTGAGTGATCAGGAAAGAGCTTGGATGTTCAAGGTTTGATCTGAAACCTCAGTGATGAGACCTCCAATCTCCTGAGAAGCTCCAGTGGAGGCTACTACTGAGCATAGCAGAGGCAATGGAAAGCAGGAACTTAGAATTAATGTCAAGAATGTAATTTCAGAGTTCTGCTTTGCTTTGATAGGAATTGTCTGATGTGGAACATTCTTAAAGCTAGTAACGCTTTCTGCAAATTTAAATTTTCCATAAACATGGTGGTTTCCTTTGTGCAACCACATCTACAGAGACTTCAGTTAAAGCATTTAGGCCACTGTGTCTCCCCACTTGGTTACACATTCCTTGAGAGCAGGAACAGCTTTAACACAGGGTCTGCCTAGCCTAGAGACTCAGTAAATATTAACAGTGCAACATTGAGTCATAAAGCATGCAGCAGCCTATCTGGGATGAGGAAAAAAAGGTTTCAAAGGTGAGCCAAGTGGAGAAAAAAGGGGAAAAATAAGTAAAAACAAACAACAACAACAAAATACAAATTAATTTCAAAAAATTAAAAACACCCATTTTTCATATTTTCAAGTGAGGGCAAATGGTAATCTAATTGTTACGTTTGAAGATTTTGAATGTTAACTTAGAAGATTTAGATTTGGATCCTCTAAACTATAGTTTTCTAATCAGCAAGCAAAAATAATAATGGCCCCCTCCTTAACAGGAATGCTGGGAGGTCAAAAATCAAAAGAAAAAATTTATGTGAGGACGCTAGGTAAATAGAAAAGCATAAGGCACTGCTCTCTCACCCTAGCTGCACTTCTAGGAAAAACTTTACAGTTTGTGATCACTGCTTTCTTGCCACGTTTTTTCTTTTTTTTCCCCCTAAGACAGGGTCTTTGTCACCCAGGCAGGAGGGCAGTGGTCATGTTTTGGCTCACTGCAAACTGCCTCCCCGGCTCAAGTGATTCCCCCACCTCAGCCTTCCAAGTAACTGCAACCACAGGTGCGCACCATCACACTTGGCTAATTTTTTGTAGTTTTTGTACAGTCAGGGTTTCATCATGTTTCCCAAGCTGGTACCATGGTTCTAATGGCAAGACGATTTAATGTAATATGATTTAATAATGATATATTTTTTGTGTCTCAGTCTTTCATATTTACTCAGAGAAACATTTGAAATAGTTATGATATCTGAGATAATTTGAAATAATGATTGACTTAGGTAATATTTAAGTACATGGATCCTTTTGGATCTGACAGAGGATTAAGCTACTTTCTCAAGGCAGATCCAGATGTTGACTTGAAGAGTTACATGTGAGAAAAGTTTACAAGGAACACTTGGCAAAATTGTTGGGGTCCTTAAAGACATGGAGTGAAGGGGATATAATGGCTATGATGAGAGAGTCAAGACAAAATGATAGGCTTTATAACAACAAAGGAGGAAGGACTTCAGAGACAAACTGGGAAGCAAATACTTTTCATTATAGCCCAGTGAAAATTAGCCCTAGGGAAAAAAAGTCAATGGAAAGGGTTTTAGGAAGGAAATGTTAGCAGAACTTAAAAGAAGCTGAATGTTAGGCCCCAAATTTAGGCATTAGGTCAGTTTCTGAGAAGTCAGTAAAAGCCAAGCTATTTGGAGCTATGAGATTAACTTAAAAATAATTTCAAAAAACAAAACAAAATAAAATTTTTCTAACTGCTATAACATATCCATTTTTCTTTCTTTCTTTCTTTTTTTTTTTACTATTATGTCTAACATATGCATGGCTGGAGATGTGTAATTTTAAAGGTCTGTTGTCCATAGTAAGTCCTTTTAAGCAAGGGATTCATATACGATATCACAGCCTCTTCACAGCTAAAATAAGAAACTATTTTTTTTCTAAGATTATCATATTGCATTTGAAAAGTAACGTGGAATGATACTATGAGGGTATGATCATGTATCATCTAAAATAATCTTGTTTGTATGTAGAACATGGAGGATATTCAAACATTTTCTCACTTTCCAATTAACACATTTCATTCAAAGCAGCACAATTTGGCCAGGTATGGTGGCTCGTGCCTGTAATCCCAGTGCTATGGGAGGCCACGACAGAGGGATCATCTGAGGCAAGGAGTTTGAGACCAGTCTGATCAATATAGTGAGACCCTGTCTCTACAAAAAAATACAATAAAATAATTAGCTGGGCACGGTGGCATGCACCTGTAGTCCCAGGTACTCAGCAGGGTGGAACGGTGCTGAGGTGGGAGGATTGCTGGAGCCTCAGAGGTCAAAGGGTGCAGTGAGCTATGATGATATCATTGTACTCCATTCTGGGTGACAGAATGAAATACCATATTCTGAAAACAAAACAAAACAAAACAAAACAAACAAAAACACCAAAAAACAAAGCACCACAATTTGGCTAGGACATTCCCTGTTAACATGGATCTGTTTGTTTCTTTAAATATCAACTGGCTGTAAAAGCTATGGGTTATTAAATTGAATTTCCTAGTGCAACTGGAACCCAAACTGTTACGGTGTTTATCAACTTAAAATTTTTTCAGAATGCTAATACAAATATTTATATGTTAATTGTATCCATTTTCTGCACCAAGTTAAAAATATTTGTTGATTAAAAAATGAATTGTGAAGGTGTTGATCTTATTTAACATGAAGTTGATGAATAAGTATAATAATAATAAGCCTCCTAGAGGTGAGAAGACCCACAGCGGAAGAATAAAAAATAAAGAATATTCATCTGTTCATTTATCAATCATCCATCCATCCCGTATTTTTGAGCACAGTTAAATTGTAAGACACTATGTTTGGATCTGAGAGGTTAAAAAATCCCCCTCACAGGGAGCTTTAATTTATCATCTAGGGAAGGTAAAGCATTTTATAAATTCTACTGCTCAGTGTAGAGTTTGTCAAGTGCCACTGAGAAGTATAAGCCATGTGTTATAGCATTGGAAGAGTGGAAATTCCACTTCTAGTTGGGACAAAGTGACATGAGAGCTGGGCCCTGATGAAGAAGAGAGAATTCTCCTGATAGAGTGCAGAAAAGGATCGTGGTAGCAAGGTAGGTGTTTGAGGGAAACACACAAAAGAATCTGAAGAAGCCAGAAGAATCAACAAACTCAGAAGCAAGTATGTAAAGTAGTTGCTCTGGAATAGTGATGGGCTGCGGACTGAGGGTAGAAGTCAGTTCAAGGTTTTCTAGGTGTAAGATCCAGGAAAGAAACATACCAGATTAGCCACCATTAGCATCTATATCTACTTCGTGTTTAAAAATCAACTGGTAATTCTGAAACACTGTAGAATGGATAAAAATT